AATATAGAAAATAATATTAAAGAAATAATAAATACTATAAAAATATTTTATTAAAAATAATTTTTAAATTATTAAATTAAAAAAAATGAAAAATAAATAATATTAAATACAATGTAATATTGAATATGAATTTTATATGTCTGAATTCTAATCTCTTGTCTGAATTCTAATCTTTTTCTATTATCCGAACATAACTCTAATTATATAAATTAAAAATTACATTTTGTAATTTTGATGATGATATATAATAAGTAAAAAATTAATTTATTAAGCATTAATTATTATATTTTATAATATAATTAAATAATTTATAATATTTTATAATATTTTATAATATAATTAATAATATAATAGAACTTCCTTATAAAATAGTGCAAGAAAACTTTTATGAATAATTGAAGCTTTTTTAAATATATGAACATATAGGCAAATTACTTACATTTCACTAGAAAATGCATCCTTTAGGCAATAGCTAGAGTTAGGATAGGTAACATATATTTTTTTTTTCGAGCAAACGCATTAAGTATATAGTATATATATAATAGAATGAGAAATACAATTGAGAACTTCACAAATCTTAATCCACCCCATTTATTGAGCTACGTGATTATAAAGTACATTGTTTCTCTATATATACAAAATTACTTTCAAAATCAATGTATCAAAAATTTTTAGCTAAGAAAAAAAAATAGATTATTATAAATTATTTATTCAAATTTCAATACAGATACTCTATCTATTTTTATTTTTATTTGTATATATTTTTATCTGTACATATATTCTACCTTTATAGAATTGTTATTATAGTTATATTATATTATAGTTATATTATAGTATATTATAGTATATTATATACTATATTATATACTATATATTATTGAATTTAATATGTTTTGAATTTCGAAAAGTTAATTTGAAAATTCATGAATAAGAACAAAACTCATCTTCAATTATTATTATTGTATTATACAATATACAAAAATATTATGTTTACAATTCATCATACGATTTTTAATCCAAATTCATTTCTTTAAATGAAGGAAAATTCTCAATCAAAAATTTAAATTTCTCAAAAATTTAAAGATTGGATTGTGAAAATGATATTTCACATGTGGTGGAAACATGGAGCAAATTTTCACTTGAATATTAAAACTCAAGTATATTTATCAAGAGTTTGATTTAAATGTTTTAATACATGGCAAGTGATAAATAATAAAAATTTTAGGCACATAATTTCAATTCAATGAAATTTATACAGAATTTCTTTTTCCTAGATGATTTTTGCTATTATTCCAATGATTGAATATGTAAAAATGGGCCACGAACCGCAGAATACACAATTGTTAACGTTTAGAATTTCGGAGTTATGCAGTATCCACGTTAATTGGATCAATTGTTCCATACTGGTTTTGTTCTGTTATTTTTATTTTACTGCTAATTTTGAGACATAATTTTGAAATATAATAGATACAAAATATAATGGAAAGAAATATTTCGTCTTTCATGACGAAATATTCAATTATGTTTTTTTTCTTTTTTTTTTTAAATAATATATATTCTCTTTTTATAGAAAAATATAATTTTTTATTTTGATTATATATCATAATCAGTATAAAAAAAATGACTTAATTTTAATTTTTAATTTATTGTAACAAATATTATAGAATATTAATATTTATTATAATATTTTATATTAATATTATAATATTTATTGATTTAATTAATTTTTTTGTTTGTATTAATTATTTAATATAAACAATTATTATATTATTATATATTATATATTATATTATATATTATATTATATATTATATATATTATATATTATATTTATTATTATTATATATTATTATATATTATATTATATTATATATTATTTAATTATTAATATTAATATTAATTATTTAATATTAATATTAATTTTTTCGTTATTATAAAGGGAATATCATTTTATTCTTTTTTTATTTATTAATGACTGCTATTAATTTCGAGACAAAAAATGAGATATCTTTTCTATGAAATATTTTTTTATATTTTTTAAAGTACTTTTTTTATGAAAGAATATAAGAATTATTTCTTTTTAAAAATTATTATAATCTCAAGGAAAAGAAATTCTTTTTTTTCGTCTCAAAATTAATTTTATGTTGTTTTGTCTTATTTATTGATTGCTAATTTTGAAATAAGATATATAAAAAGATATATTCTTTGTGAAGAAATATCTAACAATCGTCTTTTTTTATCCTTTTCGAAGAAATTTTTTTTAAAGAATTTAATTTTTTTTTAAAAAATATAATTCTTTCCTTTTTGAATAAAGCTTTTTAAAAAAATTAATTTAATCTTTTTTTGTTTATTGACAATAATAAATATTCCTTCGATAATTAAAATTAAAAAATGTTTGAGAATTGAAAGAAGTATTGAATATAATTTGTAAAAGTAAATGTATATAGAACGTAAAACAAAAAATATAACTGTCAATATGAGGATGTAAAAAATTTTTTCAATTTCATCAATCAAAATTTTAAAAATATAATAATTATATTTATAAATAATATTAATATTTTATTATATATATAATTAATATTTTAATTAATATTAATATTAAAATTTAAAAAACTTATAAAGAATTTCTATAATAATTTTAAATTTAAAATTAAAATTATTTATTTATTTATTTAAATAATTTGTTTATTTATTTTAAATTTAAAATAATTATAAATTATTTATAAGTTTTTAAAAGTTTCTTTATAAATTTCTTTTCACAATTTAATTTTATTACATAATTAGTGCTTAATTTTTATATCATATTAAAATATTTATATTAATATTTATATCAAATCAATTACAATTAATGCATTCATTAAATATTATTTTTTATCAAATATTAGGCAGTAAAATTATCTTATATATAAAGTAAAATAGTTTATAAATGAAATGAAATCATATTTGTTCCAATATTTAACAAAAAAAAATCGTAAAATATCAGTACTAAAAAAAAAGACAACATACCAGTTATTTGAGATCCAGGACCATATTGCGATGATGAAGCAATGAATGTGTAAGGGCTCGTTTGCACAGGTTGTGACCTTGCTTGACCATGATTCGGCTCGTTGGCTTTTGATGGCTTCACACATGTATCCACTGGTGCTCCATCCGGAAAACTATTCACGAAGAATGCCGAAGAAACCACAATTAGCATACTGAATGCCAGGTTCCTCATAATCAAACTCATATTATTTATTTCTTCTTATTTTCCTGACCTGTTATTAAAAAAAATCAATTTAATCCTAATGATGAGCTTTAAAAAATATAAACTTTCAGACTTAATAGAAATATTTATCTAAATTTTTCAAAAACATAATATAAAATTTGACTTTATCGATTCAAAATCATTCATATAAATATATCTAAAAATGAATTTATATGAAAAAAATTAGATCTTATTTTAATTGTAAAAAATAAAATTTTTTTCATTAAAATAATAAAATATTAACAAATATAATTAAAATTAATCAAAGAAATCAAAATTAATTTCAAATATATTTATTATTTTAAAATAAAAGAGATTTAAAATTTAATTTTTTTTAGATTAAAATAAATAAAATTAATATAAACAATTAACAAAAAGCACTTACTTAATTTAAATTAATAAAAAGAAAACATAAAATTTAAAATAATCAAGTGTTGGAGGCAGAAAGATTCGAAGGAAACTGTACTACTCGGCCTCCCGCGAGTAAGTCAAACTGTGTTCAGATCCCACCATGTAATCATAAAAGACTGGTACAATTCACTTTTACTAATTGTCACTTTCACTTCGATTTCTTCGTTGATTCTACAGTTAACTGTGAATTGTGTTTTTGGTATTCATTAATCCTTCTTTGCTTTTTATCAATCTCTATTTCATGTTTGAAAAAAATATTCGATATATTTTAAATTTTCAAAATTTTATAAAAAAACTAACTATATATACTTCTTCTTACTTTTAATATAAAATTGTATTCATTTAAAATTTAAAATTCTATTTTAATCATAATTTTTCTAATTTTTTTATATAAAAACTATAATGTTTTTATTTAAAAACGTTAATCTTTTTAATATAAAAACTATTTTATTAAGTTCGATGACATTCAGTTGAATAAATTTTTAATTTTTTACTTTTAATTTAAATCAAAAATATATCATATTATTATATATTAATTAATCTTATTTAAAAATATTGTATGCGATATATTATGCATTACGAATTGTATCGATTAAAAGAAATAATATATGTAGAAAAGTATACGAAAGATAATTACTTGCATCACATATTATTTTTGTATCTTATTAAATTGATTTGTGGAAAAATATCACGCGTTAATGTTTAACATTAGAATATTTGTAAAATTATGATGTACTTCTTAGATCAATATTATTTTTTATAGAATTATTGATTCTGCTATTTACGATTTCATTGAAATAAAAATCATGTAAATATAATTTTCAGCGAAAAATTTATTTATTAATTATAAAAATTCTTAATAAAAATTTACACAATAAAATGCATTGATTTAATATGTAATAATTAACTATAACATAATATAATAAATTATTAATTGTAAATGACAAATTATAGATAAAAATATTATATGAATTCAGAATCTTTTATCAAATAAATTAAAAAATGCATAACTTAATACATTACTCGTCGTAATATTATCGAAAATATTATTTACAAGAATTATAATGATGTCATATTTACAAATGATTATACAATAAATAGTAATTGTTATTAAAGTTCGACATATAAAAATATGATAAAGATTTATATTTGCATACTTTTGTATACTTACATTATTATAAATATATATATATATATAAAAAAAAAAATGAAAAATATTATGGAATTGTTTTTATACAAATTATATTAAGCATAATAAAATTTTGTTTTATATAATAAATATAATGAATGATATTTTAAATAATTCTAAAAAGAATTTGTTTCACATTAAACTATCAAAATATTTAAAAACACTTATTTATCATAAACACTTATATATAAAACGTAAAAATATTAGCATTCGTCCACTGGTATATTCATAAATATTTTATAAAAATTCTATATAAAGAAGGAATGTTTCAATCTGACTTTGTTAAGGCAAAAGAATATACTTCGTTTTCAATCACTTCAATGGCACAAGGCCGTGGAAACCAACCTCTGTTTCGTATTTGCTTTGAATTTTCGTCATTCTCTTTTTTTTCTCCAAATAACCAGTACCTATAAAGTTCATCAATTAAATAATTTCATCAATTAATTTAAAAGTTAATAATTTTTTATGTGAACGTACTTTCTCCATCGTGTTACAATTACAATGTCTCCAACTTTAAGTTTAATACGAGGTTCATCAGTGCAAGGTGGATGACAAAGTACACCCCAACCATGTCTTAATGGCAAACGTGATCCAGATGCTTCTTCTATAACTCTATAAGTTTTAGCTCTCTTCCGTTTATCTTTCTTTTGAGCTAATTGTTCTCGCTGAAATAAAAAAATGAATGTTCATTAAATTTTCATTAAATTTAAAATAATAGAAAAAATAAATTAGTTTAGAAATCAATGAATAAAATTACCGTTAAAGTATATTGGTCACAACCTTCAATTACAGGCCAGTGAATTCCATCACCTATTGGTGTACAATCCCATGTGAAAACTTGTTGCAAATTAAAACGCCATCCTTTTGAATAAGGATAAATAAATTTATCTCTAGTTCCAAATCGTCGATAATGAGCTTTCTCTGATATCCAAGCTTCTATTTCTGTTGTATTTTTGATTATGGACAATAGCTATAAAAATATATATATATATATATTTATATAATTATATTATATAATAATTATATATTTATATATTAATATAATTAATATAATTAATGATTAATAATTATAATTTTATATATATAATAATACACATATATATATTTGATTATTATATATATAATATAAAAAAATATAAAAATCTTACTTGAAAATAAAGCAATGTTCCAACAGCAAGAATAACACCAATTGACAAACCAATACTGAAGATAACTAATATTAAAATAAATATAGAAGGTGGTGGAAATGATAATGGTTTTAATGATAATACTGTCATCACCCAAGAAACTAATGTAAAAGTAGAAACACAACATCCAGCAACTGCACTTGCTAAAAATGCTGTAAAATGACAGTGATTATAATGTCCTACACAATTATTGATCCATGGACAATGATGATCCATTTTCATAACACAACGAGCACCTGGAAATAAAAAATAAATTCAAAATACTATAAAATATCAAATCCATACAAAATCTTACATTTTCTGCAATGATGAGATCTTGGTGCTTTATATCCTTCACAAACAGAACAATATTGTAAATATTGAGTATCTGTTGCTTTTTCCTGCAGAAAAAAGCATTATTAAATTCTGTGCTAACAGAAATTTTATTTACATACTATTGTTTTTAGAAATATATTATAATACCGGTATCCATTTTAATGGAAGAAATCCAGGTCCTTCATAAATAGCACTAATAAAATGAAAGAGTGTAGATCCACTAAGACAAAAAAAAAGAACAAAATTAACTGCTCCAAAAAAACTTTCTTGTGGTGGCCACCATTGTCTACTACAATGTATTGTCATCAAAGTAATTATTTTTATAATTCCTAAAACAATATTACAAAAAACAATGTTAATATAAATATTAATATAAATATAAATAAATTAACTTAAATAATATATGAACTGATTTAAATAATATATTTATGTATTCAATAATTATATGTTACAAAATTTATTATGAGAAATAATTAAAATTAAAAGAATACATTCAAATTTCGCGGCATTTCATCATGATATAATAAAACAAAATGGAAGCACTCATCTGTCAAGTTTATTCACATAACATTTCTACAATCAATTTCTTAGTAATACTTTACTATTAAAATACATTAGTATTTAGAACAGTATGTTATCACATTTAATAATCCATAATAGCAAAAAATGTTCTTCTGTTTGCCTTCTATTAAAATACAGATTTAAATTATTCTTATTCACCTACCAAGAGCAGTAAGTGGACCCCAATGACATATTTTCTTTAACGGATCGACACACATGCCGTCACCATAAAATTATCCTAAAATATCCTTTGAATCCTAAAAATCAGGTATTTGATACGTCTGCAAACGAACAATGCTTGCGATCGCTTATTAAATTTGTAAAAATGTATTCCTCTCGATAACACATCCCGGAACAATTCATATATGTTGGCACAACATATCAATGGTGGCACCAATGTTGAAAATTTGTTAAGATTGATAATTTTTTATGTTATAATAATTCATGAATAGAAATATATCATATAAAATAATTAATAATTATCATATAAAATAACACATTTATTAAAACTTAATCGCTTCTTTGATACATTTTTTTAGTAAATTGTTTGATATATAAAACCTCTGTTATAGATTTGGTATATTAAAAATCAATATGTTTTTATAATCGCAGTACATAATATAAATAAAAGATAGTTATTTTTTAGTTTCTTATTTAAAATAATAAATAGTGTAATGTGATAAAAAATATTTAATGATTATTTAAAGTTTATTACCATTTAAACTTCTGTACTTATAAAATGTTCGAGATTTAAAATTTAAATATTTATTGTTATTAATTATATATTTTATTTATTATTATTTTAAATAATTTTATAAAACTGGTGTCATAGAAATTTCATTGATTAAATTGATTTATGAACTTAACTAAAAATTAATTCATTTAAAAAAATAAATAATTGATTTATTTAAATGAAATTTTAATTTTCATATATAGGTATAGTTTTTCTATTATAAATCATGTTAAAATTTTTTTTATTCTATGAAGGTATCTAATAACAAGCTTACCAATATAATCTAGAAAAGTACTTAATTTACTATATAATAAATAAATTATTTATTTATTTTTATAATAAATTTGTATATTTTATTTATGCTTTCATATGATTTAAAATATTTTTTATAGGTTATGCATATAAAATTGCATTATTAAAAACTTAAATCATAATCTTCCTAATTTTAAATAATTAGAAAATGCTATTAAATTAGTTTTAACTGATTTAGAATAGTTTTTCTGAAAAATAATCATTTTATTTGAATTAAATTTATAAGGTAGTATAGAATATTAGTAAACTTGAGAGTTAGTAAAAGATATATATAACGTTGGTGTTTATTTTTTTAATTTTATCGATCATAATGAATTTATTTCAATTATATAAAATATGAAAAAATTTAGTGTATGTAAATTTATTAATAAATATAAAAATTTGAATATATAAAATATAATATTATACATACATTTGGAATATCATTAAATATAAATAATACGGTCTTTTCAGCCAAATAATCAAATAGAATTTTGTAAACCACCTGTTCCTAAAGCACGTCCACCCCTAAGAAGTGAATGTAATGTAAGTGAAGAAATCAATTCTTTTAAAAATTCTAAAAATTTATTGGTAAATATGTACAAAACTAAGCAACAAAATCAAGAATTTCGTAGTGTTTCTGATTTTCAATATACTGATGATGATGATGATGATGATGATGATGATGATAATGATGATAATGATGATAATGATGATAAGGTTGATGATGATATTGAAAAAAATAATTATACATTTTTAAATAACTCAAAAGATATACCAGAATATTTCAATACTTCACATAATGCAAATCAATCTTTTAATATTACTCCACAAAATTCTCCTTCTACAACAATATATAGACGAAATTATCATAAATTAAATGCATGTTCTAATATCGATAAAGATTCTTTCTCTCATAAAGAACAAAAGCAAATTATAGAAGGGTTTTTTTCAAATTGTTTCAAATTGCTTTTGGGTACTATTTTATGCTTTTTATTTCTTTTTATGCTCTTAAATATTCAAACAAAATCTCATAAAAATCCAGAAACAATTATTGAAACAAAAAAAGTAAATTTAATTGAAATGAATAACATATTAGATAAATCAATACAAATAATTCAGACACGATTTCATAATCAAAAATCCAACATTTGGAATGATATATCAGCTGGAATATATGATGTAGTTTTATTTCCATTAAAACCTTCAATTATTATTTTGTTTGGAAATGAAACTAGTACTTTGAATTGCTTAGCTCAATTACTTGGACAATTGAGTGGCAAAATTTTAGGTAGTAATGATTATTTAATATTAACAGCAAAAGATTTTCCAAATGATGTTGGACAAACTATTCATAATTTGAAAATTCAAATCATACAAAAAAAGGCAGTAGTGAGTATACATAATTCCTTATTGTTTTTCTTTTTTTTTTNTTTTAGATAGTACAAGATTTATTAAGCATAAATACTGAGGCATTAAAAGCTTTTCATAACTTTTGTGATAGAGAAAAACCTTTAGTTGAACATGCTATATACATAATAACAGTAATTGTTGATGGATATAAATCATCTCAAATGGAATTAGAATTTATTGAAAAGCAAATATTTACAAGATTATCAAAATATATGGATAAAGATATTTTAGATCCATTAATAACTAGACTTACAGATGGAATAATTGTACCAATACGTTCAGAATCAAATATAAATTTCAATTATGCAGATTGTTCTATTTAAATAAATTATAATTTCCTACCAGTATAATATGTAATATATAATATAATTACTATATTGTAATAATAAATAGTAAAAAATATTCATAACACATAGTATAAAAATAACATGTATAATTTTGCTATTGTAGAATATTATAAATAATATAAATATTGTTTATGTATTAAAACTAAAGAAAATAAACATTTTTGTATATTAATATTCAACTTTATTTTATTACGTCAAATGACAGTACAGAAAATCAACATTTTGATAGATAAAGATTCCAATGGATTTGGCGGATTCTACAAATTTTCAAAAAATATAACAACAAGATCAATGCCTCTGGCATGATTTCAATTATGCTCTTGAATGACATGTTTATGCAGCTTTAAAATAAAGTACAATGAATAAATTCACTTCATACATGTCATACTGTGATTGTATCTTAATAGTGTAACATGTCTTCGGTCCTCGTCCACGTATTGTTATTCATGTCTTAAATTGCCAATTTACAATGCGTTTCTCCTATATTATAAATGGAATCGCATTAGTAGAAAAACCAATTTATTTCATTTATTTCCTATTATACTAGAAAAAAATGTATTTTTGCAAACTTATAAACAAATTTTTTTAACAACTTTTCTTACAAAATCGAATCTGAAATAAATTACGATAATTATTTAGTATCAAAATTTAGTTGCTTATATAAATGATACATTTACATATATATTTGAGGAAGATCAAGATAAATTGAATGATATATCCATAAAAACAAATACTTGTATATAATTTCTTCAACAGTAACGTTTCAAAATATTTTGACTATTATTATTTATCTCAGAACAGCATGCGCAACACAAGATGGTAAATTTTCTTTCCAATATGCTTATATCTTATTTAATAAGCATTTTATAAATTGGCAACAAATACTCATAAGTGTACACTTTGCTAAAATATCGTATTAGCAAAATGATCGCTTACGAATTTCTTATAATACAGTCCTCCTCTGTCGTAATAATTCAAGTCCGTAACTAAAAGTAGGTAATATATATTTATATATATATTTATATATTTTGCATAATATAGCATGGTACCGTCAAACCTAAATAATAAATACATTTTATACAGTCATAGACTTTTTATACAGAATGTCCAAAATTTAATACAATTACAAATACTGCTTATATTGATGATATATACTAAAAATTTACTTTCATTTGAAAAATATATATTTGTAAAATATCTATTTATTAAAATTGTTGTTGAAAATTTAAATATTAAAAGTTTAAATATAATCATTTATATTCACAATTTAAATATTTTTATACTTCATATAAATGAAAAAAAATATAATAAAATTTCATAATTTGAATAATTATTCATAATTATTCAATAATTATTCAATAATATTCTAACAACATATTTGTGCCAATATTGAATAAAATGTTAAACATGCATTTATATGTATGTATTTTAAAATAATTTTTTTAAAGATCATATTAATATAACATAAATATTGTTTTTTTAGGGCATTCTGTATAAAATAGCCTTAAAATTACAAGATACGTATTTACAGTAAAAAAGTTTAATTGGTCATGTTCCTACCTAATGTAGTAAGGATGTGAGTAACGCGTTGCATAAGTTGTCAGTGTTGGCTACGTAGTCGCGTACTTCAGTCATTTATGTCTTGCCAGTTGTGCAAGTTTTCGTAATTCTGAGTCAGTCATACGTCGTTCGAGGTATAAGTCTACCTCAATAGTAAATTGTCCTGATCATTGTTTCCGTAGTTATTTGTTTCTACTTAAGCACTAAAGTGTTTACTTTGTTAATTTCAATAAACTAAATGTTTCATACTAATATGATTTATGTTATGTGTTCAAATATAACTACGAAACTATCCAAATTGCTTCAAAGCTTAAGAAATAAAAGCATTGTCACAATTTGATATAGATTCGTAATAAACAATTGCATTTTTGTAATAAACTTAGAATGATGCATATGGTGTAGCTAAAATAATAAGAGAAAACCACTTAAAATAACTGCGTATAAACATTTTACTCATCTTTATCGTCGAGCAAAAAACTGATCACTTCAAGATTTTTTTTGCTGATATTCTGATCAATACAAACGAATTCAAAGTATATGTATAAATATACCACTGTTTTGCATCTGACTGATATTTTTCTTTCATTTTGAATAAGTTCCTTTTACGAAAAATAGATGTAAACACAAGGAACAAAACAAGATTGAACCAGATAATACATTTGGAGATTCGATTAAAACTAATCGATTAAAATTCAAAGCCCTGGACAGGTAATTGAGATGAATCAGGTGCTCTGAATTGGAACTGTTGTCCTTGTGCATCAATAGTAGGTACCACTCGAGTATCCTCTTCTTCAGAACCAAAATATCGTTCAATTATATCGAAGGCCTTCTGATATATTTCTACATTTTGATGAGATTGCAAAAATTCTATTTTGTTTAGGCCTGAAATATTGCAATATAATATATAATAATATTTTTCAATCGCAGTTATTTCTTTTAATTTCACACTTACCGAAACATTCTTCGATTAATACTGCATAATGATTAATACCATTATGCGAGGCAGCATCTTGTTCTCCCACGCGCAAGATATTTTCTAAACCGCTTAATGCAACTTGAACAATCTTAGGATCCATTACTGTTAACAAATTGCACAATGGTGGAATACATCCTTCAACAACAATATAACGTATTTGTTCCGGTGCACCACCGCTTGTAGCATTAGTAATCGCCCATGCTGCTTCTTTTCGAATCTTAAATTCTGCTTTTGCTAAAATATCAATTAGGACGGGAAATATACCGGCATCAATGACAGCCTGTTAAAACAAAATCCATCTGTTTTTTAATAACAGAAACTTTAATTGCTAAAATTTATACTTTTCAAAAGTATATACGAACTTGAATTTGCTGAGGATTTCCTGCCGTAATATTAGAAATTGTCCAACAAGCTTCTTTACGAATACTTTCTTGAGACGAATTCAATAGATGGTACAAACAATGTAACGCAGAACAATTAAGAACAATTTGTGTTTGTACATCGTCACCTGTAACTATATTGCCCACTGCTCGAAGCGCAGCACTGACAACATTTTCTTGTTGATGCCTAATTCAAAAAATATGACATTATTTTTTTTTGTAAATATTTTAATAAAATGGTATAATTCAATTCATATGATAGAGTTACTTACATAAGTAATTCTACCAAACGTCTGCATACACCTGCATCAATAACTGCCTGAATTTTTTCATTTGGACCATCACTTAAATAGGAAAGAGCCCAACAAGCATCGGCAAGAACGTCACTATCAGTATGATTGAGAAAATGAGCTAAAACTGGTAAACATGGTGCGACTTTTGTGAATTCTGGTGGTGGAGTCTTGCCTCGACAAAGATTGGATAATGCCCACACCGCATTACGTGTCATTGATAAACGTGTTGCTTTAGAAAGTAATCTAAAAAAAAAAAGAAAAAAAAAGAAAAAAAAATAAAAAAAATATTTATTTTCTATTATTTAAATAAAAATCAAAAAACTTAAAATTTGAAACCCACTGCAACAGAGGAGTGAGGATTCCTCTGTCTAATACATGATCTCTACATTCAGGACTATCTCCTGCAATATTGCCCAATGCCCAAACTGCCTGTTCTTGAACATCTTCATATTCAGAACCAAGTAATGATATGAAAATAGGTACAGCTCCTGCATCTACTACTACACGCGTTTGTTGAGACGTTCCACTCGCTATATTCGTTAAAGCCCAAGCAGCTTCAAACTGAAGTCATTTTAAGTATTTATTATTATACAAAAATATAATAAATTATTTTATATTTAATATTTTATGTATTTTATGTATTAAATTTATGTATTTATAATTAAATTAAATTATAATTAAATAGATATATTAAATTATTCATTATATATATTAAAGATATATGTAATATATTCATACAAAAATATATTATATATTTCAAAAATAATTTTTCACTAACCTGCAATGTACAATTTGCATTATTCTCTAGAAATTCAACAAATTTAGGTACAATTCCAGTTTTTACAACTTCATCTATTGGAGGATTTGGTTCTCTAGACAACATTTTTCTAAATTTTTGCGTAGCTGCCAATTGAGCTTCTGGATTAGGACTGTACAATTCTTGCACCATTTCAAGTACAATAATAGAGGTTTTCTGTAAAATAAACAAAATACATTTAAATAATAATTTTAAATAAAAATATTTTTTATATTGAAAAATTTAAATTTACTGATTGTGGTGCAGGATAAGCAGATTCATTTCCTGTAACATTATCATCATCAGCAACCATATTAGGAACATTACGTCTTTTTGATAATTGTTGTTCTCTTTTCTGTTTTCTTAATTGGACACCTTCCTCTTCTCTACGTCTTCTCAGTTCTTGTGAGTCCAGACCCACATTTTTATAACGATATTTATGTGTAGTTGCGGCTGACATCTAAAATTTATTCAAAAACAAAACATTAATAATATTATTAAATAATAATATCATTAAATACATTAATAAAAAAAAATACATTAAGAAATTATAAATATTTAATGAAAATATATCAAAAATTTATTAAACTTCCTTTAAAATAAAATGATGAGTATACCTAAAAAAAATTCACATTTATTATTATTTATTGTAATTATTGTTTATTGTAATATTTCCAGTTTTATAAATAATGAAAGTCAAAGGAAATAATAAAAAACTTATTAATTAACAAGATAATTATATTCATATTGGGCACAATTAATATATCAAATTATTTGATTTTATCATTAAATTTTTTTATGAATAATTATTCCAAAGCAATATATATATTTTATTTATAAAATAATTATTATAATAAATGATTAATATGTCTAGATATAGTTATTAAATATACATATAAATATCTATGTATTATATATATGTGTGTGTGTGCGCGCGCGCGCGTGTGCGTGTATATATATACATACATATATATATATTTTTATATATAAATTTATTGGAATATAGTAATTTACTTTTATAAATATATTTGACCTATTCAAATTAATATTTACAATATTTTACTATAAAAAAAATCGTTACTATATAACATACAGTACTATTTAAATATGTATATATGGTACTAGATGAAACTATATGTTATACAAAAATAACATTTATGATATTAATATGATTAAACAATTTGATTAAAATATATCTATTTACGAACAAGATAAAATTGAGCAAAAATGCATAAAAATTATTCTGTATATAATCAAGTCATCAATGAGGACTAGGAATACCTTGAAGCTATTTGACAATGAGCTATTGAGGGTTAGGAATTAAAATTCGGCAACGATATTGGGGATGGGGTGTAGTCTCGAAGATATTAGTTTAGAAATAAAATATGATAAAAATCGCAAGATCAAATGATGTTCCGTATTTGTTTACGAGATATTTTATACTCTATAATAGATTATGCTAGATTAGACATTTTGGCACCAATGGGAACAGAAAGATTGACGTTCGCCTGGAATCATCTCGATCTCTTGCGTACGTCGCAATAGTATAATTTTCCTAGAAGATCCTACGGCATGAGATAATCAAACTCTCATTACTTACGGCTGCGAAAGAAATTCAGAAGCCAACCGTTAAATATAAGATCTCATAAAGAATATCGAATAAAGCACCGCCACACTTTTCACCTCCTCAAACTATGACCGATCAGAAAACCTTGATCTGAACTCCAACGCGCAAGGAATCACGGGTCGCACTTGCGAAATGCTGATAGGTCCGTTAGAACAGTCATATTTATTAATTCTTTTCTAATTTCACGGGATTAATTTTGGCTTGTTTAAAAATGTCTTCGAATTATTTCAAATACAAATTTCTAAAATTTTATAAATATAGTGTTTTAAGGATAAAATTTGTAAAAATATAAAAATTAAACAAAATCAACGATAAAATTTGCAAAAATTTCTCTGGTAGTTTCCAAGTGCGTTCAAGAAATATTCGTTCTGTTGATCATGTATCTGATTGGTGGAAATGTGATTTTGCTAGTACAAGACTATATAAATGAAACAATATGGATGCTTTTCGGAATACATAGATGTGAAACGACTACATGAAACAATGCAATAACCGGAAATAAAATTCTTTCATTAATTTAAAAAAATATTTAAAAATTTTTGGCGGCAACATCAAAAAGAATAAAGAAAATGATAGAATATTTTGTAATATAATAATATAAGATTATATTATGTTATATTTTAATTGTAATATAATATAACAATGCTAATACTTTGATCATACAATAATGTAAGAATTGTATATTATACATATATAAAAATCATATAGAATCAATATTATTAAAAATTATAAAAATTTGATTTGTACTTAAACTTTAATATGTACATTACAATTTAATATCATTTTTATTTTATATATTTTATAAATATATATTGATACTTTAATTAAAAGTATTAATTAAAAGTCAATCTCAATATAATAATTATAAATTATTAATTTTTAATTATTAATAATATTACTAAATTATAATAATATTATTAAATTATTAATCAATTTTATCTTGAAAAAATATTTATTTTTATTTTAAAGAACAACTAAAACATAAATTAGAAATAGTTCTTATGATTTTACAATTTATATGTATATATTATCTTTATAATTATTTTCTTTCATTTTCTCTTTATGATCTGTTAATCTAACTATCTCTGTTTCAAGTAAAGAAACGGAAGCAAATGATGACTAGTAGGTGTGGCTATTATTGGTTATCCCTGTATATAAGACTCCACCTACCTGTACGCCTATTTCTACTCTAAACTCCGATATCCATAAATGAACAAGTATTTATTTACAGTATTTATTTTTTTTTTACTATAACAAAATAAAAAAATTGAATGAATTAATTACCTAACTTAAAAAATATATATATTATATAAAAGATATTTTATAATAAATATATTTTATAATAAAATATAGAATATTTTCTAAGACACATTTCTTATATAAAAAATAGTAAAGAAATTTAAAAATAATCATAATTTTTATTTAATTAACTTTTATATTACTATATTATTATTATTTTTTCAATTTTATTTTCAATATAATCATATATTCAATAATATAATTCATTTTTAAAAAAAAATATTATATACAAAAATATTTTAAAAACAAATAGTTAATAATAGATAAAGAAAAATGATTTATAAAAATATAATTACTATGTTACAATAAAATAAGTCATGAATTTTTGAGAAATATCTTATTATATATCAAATATATAAAATAATATTTTATTATAAAATAATACAATTGCAAAGAAACAATTTGTTTTTTATTTTTCAAAACAAAAAACAATTCTTAAGAAATTCTTGCAAATTCTTAACAATAATTATTATCATAAATAATTATTATAAATTCTTAAATGAAAAAAATCACTATTTTATCAAATCTATCCTATCAAAAGTATTCATTAATTTCAAATTCTTTAAATTGAAAAATCTCAACAAACAAATCGCCTATTTCTTATTCTCGAAATATTTGTGACGATTATCATGAATCGAATCGCTAGAAAGTCGTTAGTGAACTCTACGAAAAGTATTTAGCTAGAAGAAGGGATGAGAAAAGGGGTGGTATCAGTGGTGGAAGGTAAAGCTCGAAGGACGAGCGGAGGGTTGAGAAGCTATCGGGCGTGAATAATGCGCGGCGCCGTCCGTTCCTTGGTTCGATTCCGGCTCGGCTGGATGGATTGATAAAGATTAAAGGTAAAGGGAGATGGCAGGGTTCAGGGGTGTTTTCGAGTTAGGCGACAGAAGTCAGCCAGCGAAACGAATCAGCCGCACGTATGGAGGGGGATGATGTCACATAGGGGTTCCCCCTAGCTTAAATACATACAGATGCAAGCCAGACTGATGCATCGTGGCTCGGGACACAATGACGTAGGTAGTTAAGAATTTTCATTAAATTTTTCTCTTTCATATGATATCGACCTAAATATTTTTCTTTTTTTAGAAATTGAAAAAGTCAAATATTTTTGGGATTTATTTCATAAAAAATTAAAAATATTAAAAATATTTTTGTTTGATGGAATAATTACATTTTTTTTCTATATAGAAAGAATATTATAATTTATAAAGAATTATTATTATATTATTATTATAATTTATATTATAATATTATATATATATTCTTTATAATATATTATAAAGAATATAAATATAAAAGATATTTTTTGTCTTCATTTTTTGAAAATTTTATACAATAGGGTATTTTGCTTTTTTGTTTTTTTTAGTTTTTATTCCAAAAGTAATTTGTTTTTTTAATAAATGGAAATAAATAATCTGGCAATATTAATCTCTAATAATAATAATAGTCTCTAATTTCTCATTTTCTACAATTATTTGTGATATTTCTGCCAAGTTTCTACTTCCTTTTTAAACCAGCTCTATTATGATAAATTCTATTACTTTAAACTCCATTTTCAGAAAAACACATTGCTTATTGGAATGACTAAATAATAATTAAATATTTCGTTAAAAATTGAATTTATTTGAGAATTAAACGAATATTGAATTGATCTCTTAAAAATGAAGAAATCATTACGAATTTACGATATTTTTATTTTCATATTATATTTATTATATAGAAAATTATAATGTTATTCATAAAAGATATTTTATTAATCACAATTCAATTAATTTTTATTTTTTATCTTTAATATCTTAATCTTCTGTTTTTCATCTCTATGTTCATATTTAACAAAAAAAAAAGAATTGATTATCTATTCGAATTATAAAAAAAAATTAATTTTAGATACAGAATTCTTAAAAAAAAATTAAAAATTTTTTCATTCATATATTCTACAATATCTATTGTAAAAATTTTTATACGTATATAAATAAAAAAATATGTATGAAAAAAATCTTTTATTGATTATGAAAATCACATTAAATGATGGAACCACTAAAAATTGGTAGAGCACCCGCATATCCAGTCTGATCAGTACCGGTAGTAACGAATTAATTCGATTTAACGTGAAGAGCGTGTGTGACTGAGTGAAGCAACTAGCGAAGAGGTTCCTTAACAATCGCGTTATGATCATGCGGAGGCCAATGAACATCATTTTGGTGACCACGAGTTATTTTTTATCTCTCGATGAAATAAAGAAAATCGTTACATGCGAGGATTCTCAGCCGTTAATCGCAATATCGAGAAACTGACGAAACGACCATTTAAAATGAAATACAATTCTCATCGTGAAGAGACGAATCAACGGCGATACGACTTTACACTGACCTTCGAGAAAATGGAACTCATAAAAAATCTTTTCCTCTTTTTTTTTCCTTTTCTTTTTACACTAGTTTCGTAAATGGCATTAAGGAATCTTTTTTTGTGTATTTTAGAATAGAATAATTTTTTTAAGTAAAATAATGATAATGATATAAGTAAAATAATGATAAATAATGATATGTTTGAATTATTGATATGTTGTAATATTGATATGTTTGAATGATATGTTTTAATAAGAGTGTCATGTCTTAAATTTCATGAAAATATTTTTGCACTCTTTATTGTTTGACTCGAAAGATTCAAATTTATTTGAGAATTAAACGAATATTGAATTGATCTCTTAGAAATGAAGAAATCATTACGAATTTACGATATTTTTATTTTTATATTATATTTATCCATAATGTCCATAAATGGATTATTAATTTATCATTACTTGTGGATAATAGTAATATTATCTATATTTTTAAATTTAATATTGCTTATGATACAAATTTATAAATTTATACTTTTTCTCATAAATAAATTTCTCTAATAAATAATTTTAAATAATATTCGCATTTTAGCTTTATTATCTTATCTCAAAGTTTCAATTTAAAATCATTACATTCTTCTTTCATTCCTAATTATTTTTATTTAAATAAAAATAAATAAATATAAAGTAACGATTTTTAATTTCAATTTTCATTTTTTATATTACTATCATAATGATTTACATTTTTATTAATTTTCTTTTTTTTAATTTCTCTTTTTATCAAGTTAAAAATCAAGTTATTAAATAAGAACAATAATAAATCAATAATAAAAATCTAAATGAATTGAAATCATTAAAATTCTAAAAAACATGTTTACGATTTTCAATATTTATATCTATTTCGGTACATTTTAGATATAGATAAAAGATTCAAATTATTTTTACGTCAAAATAATAAGAATTTATAAACTAAGAAAATTGAAATCATTAAAAATCCTACAAATACATTCTAGTAAAATTACGTTCTAGTAAATGTTCTAGTATCATGTCTAGTAAATCACGTTCTTATTGACATTCGAGCAAAAATATTTTAGAGTTATTCTACGCCAATGGGAACTCGGCACAGAACGGATGACTCACGCGATCTCTCTCGCAGCCTCCTTTGGTCCCGTATGGTAGTCATGTACAATGGAGAATAGTAAACGCAGTAAAGGTAACTCGCAGAGAAGAGGGCCGGTAGTGTAGGGCCAGTTTTCCCCTATGAGCGAGTACCCGCGTGGTCACGTGCCACGATTTTCACCCCCGTACAACCGATTGCCAGTCCAAGCAGATCGAGATCGCTCGTTCGAGACAATTTCGCACACGAGAATATGGAATCTTCTTGAATAAAACTATAACAAGCCTGTTCATTTACTTTTAAATATACTCAAACATTTGTAATTCAAAAATCTTTATAAGACTAAAATTTTATTAATTATTTTCCATTTCGCTATGAAAGTTTGTTACAAGTCAAAATATAAACATTTTAATTCGAATTGTTTGCTATGCATTTAAAT